CAAGGAGGAAACGCATCGACCAATCAGAAGAGATTCCTACCGCGAGACAACGCGAACGTAGCGAACGGTGGCTTAGCCAATCAAAAACAATTTTATCCGCGAGATAACGCGACGTACAATCAAAACGCGACATATCCGCGACAGAACGCGATAGCGTACAACAAAGGATTCGGCAACGCGCAACAACCAATCAGAGGGCAGCTAGCCATTACGAGCGGTAATTCGAGTAGACAACCACAGACGCAACAACAGGGCGTGAATTTCGCGAAAACGCGTCAGAACCAATCACGTTACAACGCGTCGTCACTCAATTATCGTGATTCGCGAACGAATAAGACCGATCCGAAAGTTGAATTTCCGTCGAGCGACGATGACGACGACAAGTCGAAAACGCCTAAGGGCGGACCAATAGCAACGCGAGACGCGAACGCGAAACGCGAAAATTTAAAATCGGGAACGAAGCACATTTCCGTAATACAAAGACAACACGTTAACGCCGATGGAGAGCAATTCTCATCGATGAAGATTACTGACGTCATGTCCGGAAGATCAGAGGAGGTGGACTACAAAAATGACGCTCAGCCAATGAGATGTCAGATCGCGAGAGACGAGCAGGAGAGCCGTACTTTCAAGAAAAACGACGAGGCATCCATTTCGAAGAACGTGATTGATCATCCAATGAGGAACAAGGTCGATAAGAAGAGGACCAAACAAGATAAAGAACGAGTGGAGATAGAAAAAGGTCACGTACAACACGTAAATATCGTGAGGACCAATGAGATTTTAAGAAATTTAGATGAGGAAATGCACAGTGAGCAAAGTAAGAGCGGTACGTTAAAACCTAAATGTCCGTTCATAAAAATTAATTTTGATGATGACACAGCAGTCACGACATTGGTTGACACAGGATCCCAATTGTCGATAATATCATACGCGGTATACGATGACTTGAAGAAGAGAGGATTGATACTAGACGTCCTACCAATCAGAAAATTCTTACTCAAAGGAGCTTTCCAAGAGAGAGGAGAAGTCGTTGCTAATAAGGCACGCATTTCATTCAAATACATGGATCAGACTTATACGCATGAGTTCCACATCGTGAAAAAAATTTGTTACGAAGTCATCTTGGGAAGAGATTTCCAGATTAAAAACAAGATGCTGATGAAATTCGATGGGACACCTCAAATCGTATTTGCTGAGGAACAAGAAGCTGAGGTGACGCATAGGATCGCACCAATCACAGCGGAGATGACGGAAGAAGAAGCTCGAGAAGAATTAAAGAAACTTGTCGACGAATACGAAGACATTTTTGATGGAACGATCGGGTGCGTTAACCATTACGTACATGATATTGATTTCCGATCGGACAAAGCATTTAAGAAGAAGTCGTATCCTATACCCGAGAAACATTTACCAAGAGTACGCGAGTATATGAAGGAACTGGAGAACAAAGGAATAATTGAAAAAGCCGCGACTCAGTACATTAATCCATTGGTGGTGGTAATCAAAAAAGACGGAAGCATTAGACTCTGTTTAGACGCGAGGGAGATTAACAAGAGGATGGCCAATGACCATGCACAACCGCCAACCATCGAGGAGGTATTCAGAAGAGTAGGAAGAAAGAAATATTTTACAACACTTGATATCTCGCAAGCATTTTGGCAGATTCCATTGACACCGGAAGCCATGCAATATTGCGGATTCATGTTTGACGGACAGACTTATATATTCAAGAGGATGCCGTTTGGAATTAAGACAGCTGGAGCAGCGTTTACAAGAGCGATGAGAGAAGCCTTGGGAGACGACTGTTTCGATTTTGAGATAGTTTACTTAGATGACGTTATGATTGCGTCAAAAACATTGGAGGAGCACATACAACACCTGAAGACAGTCTTCGAACGTCTCAGAAGAGTAGGATTCAAATTAAATCTGAAGAAGTGCGAATTCATGAAGAAGGAAATTAAATTCTTGGGACACACATTTACCGAGATTCAAGCAGAGATGAACGATGATACGCGATTGGCGATCATGAATTTTAAGAGACCACAGAATAAGAAGGAGATTCAAATGTTCCTAGGACTAATTAACTGGGACAGAAGATTTATTGAGAATTTAGCAAGGATGACAAGAGTATTGGAACAGTTGCTGAAAAAGGGAGTAAAGTTTGCCTGGGAGCGCGAGCATCAAGTGGCGTTCAATGAAATCAAAAAGGCATTTCAAGAAGCTCCTAGCCTGTTTCTGATACGACCCGATATGAAGTTCGGAATTAACGTAGATGCAGCGAGAAGCGGATTGGGTGCGAGATTATACCAATACCGTGAAGGAGAAGAAGCGAAATACACGATCGCATATTTGAGCAGGAGTTTGAAAGGCGCCGAAGTGCGTTATACAATTACCGAATTAGAATGCTTAGCATTGGTATTTGCCTTGAGAAAATGGCACACGTTGTTAATGGGAAGACACGTGAGAGTACACACAGACCACAAAGCTCTACAATTTTTGAGTACGTGCGTTCAAAATAATCATCGCATAGCGAGATGGTTCGAATTCATGCAAGAATTTGACCTGGAGATTGTTCATATTCCTGGTAAGGAGAACGAGATTGCGGATACTCTATCGAGATCCAATGAGGACGAAGATCCAGAGGAAGACGATGTAAAGCGCATAGCGCTAATCAGAGATCATTATGACGGAGCTAACACAGAAGAATGGATACCGTGGTTACAAAGGATCCAAGCACAGGACGAAGAACTACAGATAGCGGTACAGGAGCAACCGGAAGAGGTCTACCGAAGAGACGGTTTGATCCGAGTACGATGCGACGATACTGACCGTGTAGCAGTCCCACCCAAGCACACATGGGGATTAATAGCAAAAATTCACCGTTTACTGATACATTTCGGGACGGATAAAGTAATAGCGTTTACGCAGAAATATTTTCACACATTTAGAGTAGCAAGAATAGCGAGAGACGTTGTAGCGTCGTGTAAAATATGTCAGATGACTAAATACTATACAAGGCCAACAGTCGGTAGACAATACTACGACTTGCCTGAGGAACCAATGAAAACGGTTTCTTTAGACTTGTTCGGTCCATTGCCAAGGACGCGACAAGGATTCAAATATATATTAGTACTGATGGATCAGTTTTCGAAACTAACGAAATTCTATCCAATCAAAGACCAGAAGTTTGACACCATAGTCGAGACATTAGAATCGAGATTTTTTAGAGAAGTAGGAGTTCCGGAAGAGATTTTGACTGACAACGGAGGTCAATTTATAACGGCAAGGTGGCGGAATTTTGCCACGGAGCGTGGAATTAACACGAGAAAAACTTCGCCTTATAACCCACAGTCAAATCCGGTGGAGAGAGTGATGCGCGAACTAGGACGCGTTATCAGGGCATACGCCAGCGATAGACAACACACATGGTGGAGAATAATAAGCAGAGCGGAAGATGTCATAAACGACACCGTTCATTCATCAACGGGTCACACACCCAATGAAATTCATTACAACGTGGAAACACACTGGCACGTTTGCGACGAATTGCGACCGATGCCTACGCAGCAAGATGAAGAAGACAGATTAGAACGAGTACAACAGGCGAAAGATAGATTAGCCAGTCAGGCTAGAAAGAGAAAAATACAGGCTGACAAGCATGAGGTGGCATCTAGGCTACAACCGGGTGACGGCGTAATGGTCAAATTGCACCGAAGATCGGATGCAAATCGAAGGTTGACTCGCAAGATTCACCTAGTCTACGATGGTCCATATCGTGTGGCGCGAGAAGTGCGCGAAAATGCCTACTTGATAGAGAGTTTAGATGGACATCCGAAAGGAGTCTATAACTCACGGCAGTTAAGACCGTACAGAAGACCAATCCTAAGAGAGGACCAAGATAATAGCGACGGGGAAAGTAACAATTCGCATAGCGAAGATGAAAATTCACATCAAGAAGATGATGATTCGACAAACGAAGATATTAATTCACATCAGGAAGATGATGATTCGACAAACGAAGATATAAATTCACAACGTGAAGATTCAGAAGATTTCGATAGTCAAGAGGACGAATTAGAAATTTACGTGATTACGATGCACGAGTTAACGTCATCGGAAGAGGACGATACCGACTCGGACTGCGAGTAGACCTTATTAACCCAGATAGCCGAGGAGTACGATGAACGTTTCGATACAATAAATATTAACACCAATGAAGATTTAAACAAAGAACAACATAATTTTGCCGAAAAGCAAAGTAAAACTAATCAATTAACCGGTACGTCAACGATGAAGACAGCCGAGGAGAATAAAACTTGTCAGTCAATAGAGACGAGGATAAAAATCGAAAATACCGAGGAACAACTCGAAGATGCCGAGGAGCATATCAATCAACCAATTACATCACAGGAAGACATTAAAGAAGAAATTACCGAGGAGAACACCTCGAGACAAATAAACAAAGAAGAATTTACCGAGGAGAACACCTCGAGACAAATAAACAAAGTGGAAAATGCCGAGGAGCAAAACGAAGAGGCCAATAGGTCAAAAATAGACGAACAACCAATCAGGGAGGAGATAGGCGAAAAAGCCGAGGAGAACGCCGAAAAGCGTAATAAACTAATTAACCAATCCGAAGAGGACTACATTGAAGATCAAATAATTGAAATGGAAAGAGAGATAAGTGAAAAATTAAGTGATATCAAGAAAGAAGAAGTGGGGGAGCCTTTCGATAAGAAAGATGTCTCCTTCATACACATCAAGAGGGTCCGTACTTACCTGAGGAGCGGAGATGAAGATTCCAGCGACGATCCGGGAAAACAAGACGACCTGAAACATAAAAACAAGAGATTAAAATCAAATAGTGAAGATAAAGAAGATACTTACCAGAGGAGTGAAAACGAAGCAGAAGATTATAAAGAAGATTCAGAAAATGATGACAGCTATGAAAAATGGAAGAAATTAAAAGATTATTATAAGGATTCCAGTGACGAATCAGATGAAGAGGAAGAATATAATAGATGGAAGAGGAGAAAAAAGCAAGTAATGGAGATAATTAGGAGAAACGAAAACTACCGAGCTGAAAAATGCCGAGGAGAAGGAGCGGTGGAACACGAAAACTCGAAACCAGCGAACGTTGCGAATCCCGCGACGAAAGTCAAATCGCTATTGGCGGAGAGGTTTCACTTAGCATCCTGCAGTCAACTGACTGATTCTGAAACAGAAAACGAAGAGGAGGATAATAATTCGGAAAACAAAGACACCGAAGATAGAAATGACCAACCAGAGTCAACCGATAAAATTATGTTAAGTGAGAGTAGTATGAGTGAGGGAGAAGAGCGAGAAATCGCAAATTGCTTCAATCAGATTCAAGAAATAATAAATAGAAGATTCAACGGCGAAAATGTCAACAACGACAGCCAACAACGCGAAAATGCGAACCAACAACCAGAGGATAATTCATCCGACGGACATAGTCGAAATGACGAAAATAACGATAATCAACCGGAGGAAAATGAAAATTTAAACGGAAAAGAAGAAAGAACGATTGAATCGTCAAGAGGATCAACGAGATCGTACAACAGCGAATTAGAAGAAGAATTATTTTTAGATATGCAAGATCCAACGGAAATTAATTACTCAGATCAAGAAAGGATAAACATTATGTCCTACAACGTTAAATTTCGAAGCAATCCAGGACATTGGATATGCGAGCCAATCAACGGCGAGTTAGAAGTTGCAGTGAGCGACGACTATGAAGAAGCCTTAACGCATGTGCGCGACACATTGCGCGGCGAGCGCCATAACGGCAGATACGTTCGAGCAGCCGTGGTAGACGGACACTCGACAGATGACAACAGATTTACGCACAGATACACGTGTGACGACAGCGAGACCAAGTTCAACGGTCGAAATAACAACAATCACAGCATGGAGAAGGAAAGAAGACGAATGGAAAGATGGGAGGAGGATCTCCAGAAGAGGATCGAAGAACATTCCAACCAAAGAAGGATGTTAAAAGTGCGCGAAGATAGGCTAACCTTTATGGAAAAATATGCCAGAGAATTATCACCGATCAACCTCAACGTGGAGGAATACAACAGAGAAGAGAAGGAGGCGCAAAACAGATCGATCGAAGTAATTAAAAAGTGCGAAGCAGCGAGAGGAAAAAACATTTTCGACGTAGCAGATCACCAAGTGCGTGACGAAAACGGTAAAGCCATTGCCGAGATTAAAACAATATTCATAGTGAGAGACTTAAAACCGCACGACGACAAACGCGAATATACGTATCGAATCAACGCGACGATAAGCCGAGGAACGGCCGAAGTCAAGATACAAGCGCACGAGAAGACTTTAACGTCAACGAGGGCAATCACGTCAGCGAGCACAGCGACGACGGCGAGTGAAGAATCGCAGCCCAAGATAATAGTGTTACCGCAACAAACAGAGGTACAGCAACAACAACAACAAATACAACAGCCGCAATATATTATCCTACCGTCAGGAGACGTGGGAATGCTGAGAAAGATAGCACCAAAACCAACGACGGATTCGCATCAGCCAATCACGGCCAAGCATCCGATCGGCGCAGACAAACGTAAGAGAAGCGGCGAATCAGAACGCAGAGATCACAAGAAGAAAAAGTCAGGTACACCGATCATCAAATCGATCATAAAAACCAAGTCACCGCAGAAGCCGAAGACGAGAAAGACGGCGGAGAAAGCGAAAAAAAGAATCAAAAGATGTACCGAAGAAGACGACAAATCGAGCGAGGAGGATGAAATCAGCCAATACCTTCCGACTAGAACCGACGAGATTAAGACTTCCGTCCTAAAGAAGATCTTTATCACGGAAGTGCCGAGGAGAATGAAGTCGCTAGGTGAACCTGCCACTTCATCGTCGGGTTCCGGTCGAAACGCACCGGTAATCGCACAACCCACGGAGGACTACCCCGAGGACGAGCCGAACCAGGGGATGTCGGGAACACCGCGACCGGCTAGCGTAGCAGCAAACGAGGAGGTCAAGGACGCCAGCTTCGAGAGCGTCGAGATCGGCGAGATCCTGCAGCGAATCCCGGTCAAGGTAGCTCAGGTGATCGCGGAGAGCGAGGCGAAACAGCCCGCTGGACAAAGGGCAGTTCCGGAGGACGACGACGAGCCACCGATCCAACAATCCCAGGCGGAAGGACGGCAGGACGAGTCAGGACCGAGAGCCAGCCAATAGGGAGACGCCGAGGCAGAGACCCGTGCGAAACACCCCTTTTATTACATTCGAGTTATTTTTTTTTATTATTTTTAATTATATTTTATATTGTTTCAACCTATTTACCCTTGAGAAAGAACCGCGAATGCGAGTAGCGGATTATAAACGCCGTTAGAGCGTAAGAGTCATTAATTGACAAGCCAAAGAGCAACTTATAGAGATTTTTATTTTCTTTATTTTTATTTACACGTACACATGTAACAAACACTTATTTTATAAGAATACATTTCAAATTTTGTAAAAGACACACACTATTAACACATTAACCAATCCTACCAATCCCAAAGCACCTTTGCATAATTTAAAAAGTAATATAAAGTTAGAGTCATTAATGGGCCAAGGAGAGTCCAGACCACAGTCGGAGATGAATCCCGAGGGGATGACTTCGTTAATTTTAACGGCAGTTTTCTTATTATTTTCAATATTAATTCTATACAGTTTATACGCGATCTATTCTATCACAGCGAAGCCATGAGGTTCAAGGAATACATCGTCGTAACCCTTATCATATTCATTCCTGTCGTAATGACATTCCCAGACATTTCTACCATCCTAATCGTATACACATTGTACACACTTTATATATTATTGTTGAGTCTCGAAATCGAGCCACGATTGGTTCCCGAAGAGCCATGAACACACACACATACACATTTGCATGAATAAAGACGTCAGAGAGACGCGAGGACCAATAGGGTTCAAGAAAACACATTTCACATTAATTAAGATATTTTATAACAAAGTTGACAGCAAAGGCGAAATGCCTATACGCGAGGACCAATGGGAAGCATCCCGGTCTATTTTGTTAAGAACCGCGTTAATTTCTATAGATTTATTAGTTTTGATCATTCTCGACAAAGCGATAGCCAATAGGAACGATTCCTGGCAGTTCGATATTGTTTTTCAAAGTTTTAGACTATTCTATGATTTTGCGAGGCCACGAGCCGACGAGAGCGCTAGGCGCAATTATTTCCGATAGAACGCGACGGATCGACCAATAGGACGCGAGCGTAGCTCTGCGAAGCGAGAGAATGTCGTGAAGCGCGAATTTGCATTGTATAACTTCATTTGCATTTTGATTACTTTTATTATATGTTTTCCCTGTCGAGACAAGTACGATTAGTCGTATTATATGCAGCGTAATGCATTATTCATTATTTTACATACCTACCGTTCGGAAACTTACCGACGATACGAACCAGTCCATTGATTGGGCGAGACGATCCCACGGAGAACCCGGTACCTGAAAGAAAAGGAGAATTAATTAAATTGATTCTAGTACGTAGTTTACTTACCTGGTCGTTATGGGGAACGTCAAAGAGACCATTTTCGGTCACTCGGAAAACGTTCCGAGTGACTCGCCGCGAATTTGCACTTTGTGCAGATTGCGACGGCTGGCATTGGTTGCCGCGTCCGTAGCGAGAGCCCATGTCCGCCGTTGCAATACCCCTACGGTATCTCAGTCGAATCACGAGCTGAGCCAATAACAACGGCTCAGCCGACGGGATAAGCGATGTAAGGATCGTGTCGCTCGTCACCAAGCGACGCGATAGGCCAAAGAGGAAAAGGCGCGCGAGTACAGGACTTCGCGCGTAAAAGACGGTCAGCGCGCCGGCGCTGAAGTGAAAGTGGGGGGTCGAGAACCGTTCCTCCCGGAGAGTCTACCGATATTACTCGAGGCGTGCACACGTTTCGACGGTCGCGCGCGACAAAACTCGATACGGTATTCTTATCCCGTCTTCGCCTACGATAAGTGCATTAATTAATTGCTAACAACGGCAAGCATCGCTCGTGAGACAGTTTGCTTGAGATATTCGAGGCGTCAGCTCGTTACAACGGTTGCGCGAAACAACTCGATTCAGCTTACTTATCCCATGGCCGTATACGATAATTACGCGACTAACAGCCACGCGTTCACGGTAATTAACCGAGATTAGCTCGTAGCGACGGTTTTCAGAGTTCGTTAACAATCGACGCAGGTCAGTGCGCGATAGAACCTGTCCGTGCGTGTACCGAGATACTGTAACTGTGAAATATTAAACTATTATTTGTTTATAATAAACAACGAGCAATTATTTGCGACCCCAGTGAATATCCTCTCCCGATAATCGTATCCTACGTGCGCATAAAACGGGCGTTGCCAACGGCCTTGAACGCGTCCGCGTCGTAGATACCGGCGGCCATTAAGCCTGAAGGAAGGACGGGGCACCGCATAGCAACAAGGTTTCTGTATTTACCCGAAAGATACAGTGGCGACCGTAATAACAGC